CTGGGATCATGACCTGAGCCGAAGGCAGACGCTTAACCATCTGAGCCACCCAGGCGCCCCAATTTTATTTATTTTTAATTAGTTTAAATGTAAATAGTGATAGCATAGATAGTGCATTAGATAGATGAACTCCTCCACAGAGACCACATGTTCTTTATCTTTGTGTCTTCAGAGTAAAGACAATGCCCTAGTTATAATAATGTCTTAGCAAGTGTGAGGGATTTGTGTTAAAAGATATGTTTTAGGTGACAATGACTGTTTTACTCCTAAAGGCAATCTAAGCTGGGCTAGTCAAATGTATCTCATCTATTGATGTGTTAGTCAGCTCTTGCTGCACTAATGGTGTGTAACAAACAACTGTAATCTCTCAGTGCTATATTATAACAACAAAACTTATTTCTTGCTTGGTTATGACTTGGCTCTAGGTTGTGAATTGGGTCCAGGCCTGCTCCATGTGTTCAGGCATGATGTCTTAGTGAGGTGCCAAAATTTGAAAGGCCAAGCCAGACCTTGCAAGCACATTTAAAACCTCTGTTTGGGGGTGCCTGGGTGGCTTGGTCGGTTGAGTGTTCAGCTTTTGATTTTGGCTTAGGTCATGATCTCGGGGTCCTGGGATGAGCCCTACATCAGGCTCCAAGCCTGGTTCAGAGTCTGCTTGTCCCTCTCTTTCCCTCTGCTTCTCCCCCAATTCATGTGCTCCCTCTCTCTCTCAGTTTCTCTCTCTCTCTCAAATAAATAAATAAAATCTTTAAAAATAAATTAAACCACTGTTTGTGTCACATTGATTCACATTGTGTTGACCAAAACAACTCATGATTAAACTCCAGTATGACGAGTGCAGAATCAGTTTCTTCCCATGGAGGATGGGTAGAGAAGAGTGGATATTTACTAAGCAATAACAGTAACCATAGGTGAATGCTGGTTTTCTTTTCCTTAGGGAAGTGATTCTCACCTGGGGATGATTTTGCCCCATAGGAGACATTTGGTAATGTCTGCAGATGTTTTTGATTGATACAACTGCTGGCATGGGGAGGATTGTGACTGACAGCTAGTGGATAGAGGCCAAAGATGCTGCTAAATATCCTATAATGCACAGGGCATCCCCTGCCCTCTGAAAGAATTATCCAGTGCACACTATCATTAGTGCCCAGGTTGAGAGGACTTGCCATAAAATAGTAGTTCCAAAATTTTAGCATGCATCAGAATCACCTATAGGATTTATTAAAATACAGACTCTCAAAGGGGTTAACTCTGAAAGTGTCTGATGTAGTTCTAGAATTCCTAAATTCCCAGATGATAATGATGCTGCTGGTCCAGGGACCATACTGTGAGAACCACTGCTTTAAGAATCAGTACATCATACAAAAGTTTTTTTCTGGATAATATCATTTGTGTGCTTTATCATGGTACCTGTTAAAGCACTTATCACAGATTGGTCTTTTAGTTCTTTCGTTTGGGCTAGAAGAATCGAGGTATAATACTGAGTGGGAAGCTTTGGAAAAGAAGTTTACTCTGTGAGTCATGGCATTGGGACATAAACACATGTTTATAAAATGTTCTGTTTGTGAGATATATTTGGAAGAAGTAGAAGCTGATAATCATGCTTAGTACTCCAGAGGTAAAGATTTAGACTGATTGGTTCTTGACGAGATTGCAGAGATTGCACCTACTTAGTTGTACTATTGTAGTTTCCTAAGCAGTATCTCAGAAACAAATTTAAAATGATTAGTCTTGAGTTACAGGACATCTCTTATTCTGGATAAGTTATTCAGGTTTTTTGTTTAATGTTTATTTTGCTCGTTAAGAACAAACACCATCTTATGAAATTCTTTGAGCTCACACAGGTAAAACTGTGGAATGAAGAGAAAAAAACTAGCTAAATAGCTAAAATAAAGTTAGTGTCAAAAGGTCTTTTAATCATAGAACATTTAATGGTGGAGCTCTTAAGGAAAGTCGTATAACTGAGTTATCTTCTTTTAGGGAGCTCATAAGCTGGTAAGAAGAAAAAGGTATTTAAAACTTAAGAACTCTTTATATTGGTAGCAAAACAACTTTTTATCTTATAACTTGCAGAAGTAAATATTCTGGATTAGCCCTAAAAATAATGTATAAAGACAGAATAGAAGCATGGTCTAAGGTAGCACTGTCAATAGGAGTGTAATGCAAGTGCATGTGTAATTTGAATTTTTCTAGTAGCTACATTAAAAAGGATAAATTGGTGGAATTAGTTGTAATATGTTTTTAATCCAATATAAGTAGACTTATTATTAATGAGATATTTTGTATTTCTTACTAGTCTTTAAAAACCAATGTGTATAGCAAATCTAAAGTTGAACTAGCTATATTTCAAGTGTTCAGTAGCCACATGTGGCTAGTGGCTACCATATTGTACAGCACAGATCTAAGAGTTACAGAGTGAGTAATGGAGGAGCTCAGTTTTTATATTTTAAGAAGATTTTCTTTGGGGCAATAGAAAGCTATTTTTCGAAAATTTGCCTTGGTGACAGTCTGAATTCAGACCATCATCACTTGCAATGGCTTACCATGGTTTTCTCCCTTCCTGGCATTGAAGAATCTATCTGAAGACCCTGATCTGATTATTTCCTGATCATATGACTTACCTACTAAAAATTCTTCAGTAGGTTGGTTTATTTTTCAAGACAATTTATACTTCATCTCTTAGTGCACTAGTCTGTATGATCTGACTCCTTTCATACGTCTCTGACTCATTTCCTGATTTAATCCAACGTGTATAGCCTTAGCTTCCAAAACGACCTACCTTTGTTTCTGATAGATTCCACTTTTCTTTTCCCATGCCATTACATGTTTTTCTCTTTACTGAATGCTCTTTAACCTTGCTCTTCTACCTCTTTACCTAGCTAACTCCTATTACTACTTCAGAATACAATGCAAAAATTATTTTCTCTGGGAAAGCCCCTCTCATTCACTAGTATATACTGTAAAGGCAGCATGTGCAAATTTAAGATACAAATCGCAGACTGGGGAGAGCATATTTGGATCACATGGAACAGACATGGGGTTAATATCTATAATAGAAGAGTTATAAAGCAATAAAAAGACCAAAGTACAGTGAAAATATAGGAGATTATGAATAGGTATTTTCTATGAGAAAAAATATAAATGATCAATGAAAGTTTGAAATATAATTTTTCACCTATCAGGTTAGTAAATATGTGAAAGAATGATTGCATTTTAACATGAGTACACAGCAGAGCTGTCCAACAGAAATTAAAGCAAACCACATATGTAATTTAAAATTATCTAGTACCCATATTAAAATTAAAAAAGGTACAATTAACTTTCATAATTTATTTTGTCTCAGTATGTCCAAAATGATTTCAATATATAATCAATATAAAAACTTATTAAATAGGTGCGCCTGGGTGGCTCAGTCGTTAAGCGTCTGCCTTCGGCTCAGGTCATGGTCCCAGTGTCCTGGGATCGAGCCCCGCGTTGGGCTCCCTGCTCGGCGGGAAGCCTGCTTCTCCCTCTCCCACTCCCCCTGCTTGTGTTCCCGCTCTCGCTGTCTCTCTCTGTCAAATAAATAAATAAAATCTTAAAAAAAAACCTTATTAAATAGATACTTAATGTCTTTATACTATGTCTTCAAAACCTAGTGTAAAGATTTCAGAATACCCTAATTTTTACTAGTTATGTAGAGGAATAGGTGTTTTTGTACATTATTGGTAAAGATGCATTTTGGAGGAGAATTTGGTGATATTTATCAAATTAAAAATTTAAATGACCCAGGGTTCTATTCCTAGAAATCCATCCTCCAGAAATACTAATATGCACTTAAAGATTATAGATAGGTAGATGTTTACTGCAGTGTTGTTTTAACAGGAAAACATTGGAAACAGCCTAAATGTCCTCTAGGGTTTTTGTTAAATAATTATGATATTTCCAGGCAGCGAGATACTGTATAACTTTTAAAAAATGTGGGAGATGTTTAGGTTAACTGAGTTTTTATATGGGTTAAATAAATATTAATATAATCATGTAAGATACTTAGAATGTGTCTGGCCCATAGTAAATGTGATATCAGTGTTTGCTGCTATTATCATTAATTATTATTGATATTGAAGAATCTTCTAGATATGTTAAGTGAAAAAGAAATGCAAAGTGTAGCACTTTGTAAGGTATGCCATTATTTGTGTAGAGGGGAAAAAAGATATATGCATTTGCTTATATATGTGTACAGTATCTGTGAAACAGTATGGAAAAAACTGATAATACTGATTATATTTGGAGAGGGAAACTAGATAGTGGGAGGGGGAATAGAGACTTTCCACAATGTTCTTTTTTCTACCTTTGGAATTTGATCCATAATGAATATAGTACTTAGTGAAAAAATTAAAATGTAAATTAAATTTATTTCTCTTAAATATTTTTGAGAAATCCATACTTTACCATTAAGTTATTTCTATAATTAGTATGAATTATAATGATTTTAATCAAGAAAAAAAATACAGGATATTTTTACTTCAGTTATGTAGAATGGCTAGATGATATGAGATTCTGGACAAATTTAATTTTTGATTAATCAGAAACACTTGGTTTCAAAATGTGTATGACTTTTGAAAATATTTCTAAGTTGTCCTTTTTGTTGCCATAAGAAAGATATATGGCATATTGGACTTAATAAAATCTGATTTTGCAGGACATGAGGATCATTCTTACTACCACCTTGTAGAAAGTGTAAGAAACTGGGTTTGAATATGTGCTGTCTTTAGGGTATATTTAGAAGACATTGTTTAAAAATTAAAGTCAACAACCAAGAACACTTGCCCTAATATAAACTTTTGTGTGCATATTCTAAGAGTTGAGGTCTGGTGAAGAGGATGGAAGAATTCTAGTTAATTTAAATTTTACAGTATTGACCATCCTATCTATCACATTTTCTAGACAAATGTGAATTTTATATTTGGAATATATAGCTCTTTCTTGTTCATGAGAACTTACTGTAACTTGTGTTTTAGGATTTGGAGTGGATCAATTACGAGATGACAATCTTGAGACTTATTGGCAATCAGATGGCTCCCAGCCTCATTTAGTAAACATCCAATTCAGGTAATACATTTTTGGATTTTTTGATTTGTGTAGGTTAACTGGACAAAGTGATCTATTTTATTTACATAAAATTGAAAGAAATATAGAAATTATAGCGAAATGCACTTAACTCTGGTTTTTATAAGCCTTGAGATTATTTTTCTACTCCTTTAGATTGTGTTTTAAGTTTTCTCAGTCTGGTCTTTTGTGAATTCTTTATAATACTTTACACAGTTCCTTTTACATAGAGATTTCTTAAATGTACTTTTCATGTGATTTATTTTGGAAAAATATGCTTTGCTTATGACCCAAAGCAATGAATGCCTTCCTTAATGCATTGCATTAACTACAACTGGAGTGATAATAGTAAGTTCTTTAGGTATAGTCTATTCATGTAATTCTCAAATTTGTATTTCCATTTGGAAAAAAAATTATTTTAACCTAGAACCTCTAAGGACATTTTCAGGTTTGAAATGCTTACTTTCTCAGGGAAAGGAAAATTACCATATGGTTTTCCATTGCTTTGAATTTATTGAGATAGATGGAAGCCAGCTAACTTGATTATCTTGCCCCATTTATATCATCTATTTTAACTTTTTTTTTTTTAAAGATTTAATTTATTTATTTTGACAGGGAGAGAGAGAGACAGCGAGAGAGGGAACATAAGCAGGGGGAGTGGGAGAGGGAGAAGCAGGCTCTCCGCGGAGCAGGGAGCCTGATGCAGGGCTCGAACCCAGGACCCTGGGATCATGACCTGAGGCGAAGGCAGACGCTTAACGACTGAGCCACCCAGGCGCCCCTATTTTAACATTTTATAGCGTTGTATTTTTAGTTTGTTTTTCTTTTTAAAAAAGATTTTATTTTTAAGTAATCTCTACACCCAATGTGGGGCTTGAACCACAACCCCAAGATCAAGAGTCACATGCTAAGTGCCATTTTAGTTTGTTTTTCTCACTGAGGGTACAGATCAACAAATTTCTTTCTTTGTTTTTTAAGATTTATTTATTTATTTTTTTTTTAAGATTTTATTTATCTATTTGACACAGAGAGACAAAACGAGAAGAGGGAACACAAGCAAGGGGAGTGGGAGAGGGAGAAGCAGGCTGCCCGCCGAGCAGGAAGCCCGATGCGGGACTCAATCCCAGGACCCTGGGACCACGACCTGAGCCGAAGGCAGACACCCAACAACTGTGCCACCCAGGCGCCCAATTTATTTATTTGAAAGAGAGAGTGTGTGAGCGAGCACACAGAGGGAGAGGGAGAAGTAGACTCCCTGCTGAGCAGGGAGCCCATTGTGGGGCTTGATCCCAGGACCCTGGGATCATGACCTGAGTCGAAGGCAGATGCTTAACTGACTGAGCCACCCAGGTGCCCCAGATCAGCAAATTTCTTATGAAAAAAACAGTAACAAGCATTTTACGCCTTCTGGGCTATCGGGTCTCTTTTGTGACTACTCAGGCCATTATTGCATGAAAGCAGCCATAGGCAATGCACACTGGCCAAATTTAACTGTTCTAATTAAACTTTATCTTAAACGGGTGCCTGGGTGGCTCAGTCATTAAGCATCTGCCTTTGGCTCAGGTCATGATCCCAGGATCCTGGGATCGAGTCCCGCATTGGGCTTCCTGCTCAGCAGGAAGCCTGCTTCTCCCTCTCCCACTCCCCCTGCTTGTGTTCCCTCTCTTGCTGTCTCTCTGTCAAATAAATAAATAAAATCTTTAAAAAAGTGAATAAACTTTATCTTAAAAAAGTAGGTGATGCGCAGAGTTCACCCATTGGGTTGTAGTATGCCAATTCTTGTCCTTGTGTACTAAATGTGTATATACCAGAAATAAAAATAGCACCTAATATTTTTTAAAGACTTAAAATATCAGATACTTTGCTAAAATGCATTACCCATTCATTTCATTTAACCTTTACAGCTATTTTTATCCTTATTATTTTATTTTATTATATTCTTTTTTTTTGCACATTTCAAGAACCACCAGTTCTTTATTGGTGAAAACATGAATCCAAATGGCATGATTGCTCTGCTGGACTACTACGAAGATCGAAGATCGTGTGAACCCATATGTGATTTTCTTTAGGGGTGGTTTAGAAATGGAAAAATGCTAACGAATTTGGCTATGACTTTGGGTGTGTCACCTATTGTCATACCTGGCTGTTGCTTTTCATCCACACAACACCAGGACTTAGACAAATGGGATGGATGTCATCTTGAGCTCTTCATTTATTTTGACCTTGACTTATTTGGAGCAGGGGCGTTGTTTTGTTTTAATTTTATTTTATTATGTTAACCACCGTACATTACATCATTAGTTTTTGATGTAGTGTTCCATGATTCATTGTTTGTGTATAACACCCAGTGCTCCATGCAGAACATGCCCTCTTTAATACCCATCACCGGGCCAACCCATCCCCCCACCCCCCTCCCCTCTAGAACCCTCAGTTTGTTTTTCAGAGTCCATCGTCTCTCAGGGTTCGTCCTACCCTCCGATTTCTGCCCCCTCCATTTTTCCCTTCCTGCTATCTTCTTTTTTTTTTTAATATATAATGTATTATTTGTTTCAGAGGTACAGGTCTGTGATTCAACAGTCTTAACATAATTCACAGTGCTCTCCATAGCACATACCCTCCCCAATGTCTATCACCCAGCCACCCCATCCCTCCAACCCCCCACCACTCCAGCAACCAATCTCGTACTTAAAGAAGAGTTCCAAGTACAGTACAGTTTTTTTCCCCTGAATTGTTTCAGAGTAAGTTGCTGATATATGTCTCAACTCTCCAGAATCCTTTTTGTATGTCATTCCTATAAAGAAAGACATTCTCCTACATAACCACAATACATCCTTAGGAAATTAACACTGATATATTTAATTCTACAGCCCCATTCCTGTTCTACCAATTGTGCCAGTAAAGTTGAATCACAGGTTGAATTTGGTTGTCCCTTCTCTTTACTCTCCTTTAATCTGGAACATTTCTTCACTTTTTATTTGACTCGGCACTTTTGAAGATTATAGGCCAGTTATTTTAAAGAATGTCCCTTAATTTCTATTTGTTTGATCTTCACGAGTAACTTCAGATTATATATCTTTAGGAAAAGTAGCACAGAAGTGATGTTCTGTGCTTGTCATTCTTTGTATCTTACTGTTTGGGATACATGATTTGCATTTTGTCCCATTACTGATGATGTTTACTTCTATTATATGATTAAGGTAGTATCTACCAAACTTCTCCATTGAAAAGTTTCTTTCATTTTATTCAAAATTATTAATATCAGCATGGACTCAGAGTTTACTGTTTTACTCACCTGCTTTAAATCTGTTACTATCATCATTTGTGTCAGTGCTCAAATTGCCTCAGATTTGGCCAGTGGGAGTCCCCTCCAGTTGACACTATTACCTTTTGATAGTCTCTGTGATTATTTGAGCAATTTCTTTTGTTCTGGCACAATATTCTGTGCCCCATTTCTCTAAGATCGGGTGTAGTGGAGAATAATAATTAAAAACCAGATCTTGTGAGGTGCCTGGATGACTTGGCCGGTTAAGCATCTGACTCTTGATTTCGGCTCAGGTTGTGGTCTCAGGATTGTGAGATCGAGCCCCACATCTGGCTCCCTGCTCAGCGGGGACTCTGCTCGAGTTTCTCTCTCTCCCTCTCCCTCTCCCCCTCTTGTGCACCCTCTCTCAAATAAAGAGATCTAAAAAAAAAAAGAGAGAGAAAGAAACCAGATTGATATATTGAGCACACCCAATACACCAGTTTTTGTATTGGGTGTGCTCATTGCTATGGGATGCTTCTATATCAGAGCCTTCTCAATAAGGGGATATATGTACATAACATATACACATACATACATAAACATATTTACATCTGTATTTATTTCTCTGTCTTCACACATACACAAATCATAAATTCATACTGACACTTCCAATTCTAATCCAGAGTGAACAGGGTTTAGTCTAGTTTTTTCTCTTTCTATTGATAAACCCCTTCTTCATGAATGAGAACTTGGTTGGTTCTCTTATCCTTCCTTACTTATCTCATTAATCCCCCTGCATGGAAGCAGTCTTCCATTTCTCTCATTGTCCCCTCCCGGACAGATACCCCTTCACCCCATCTAGGCTCTCAATCTCTCCTGTGCTGTTGTCTTTTCACTCTCTCTGTACTTCCCTATTTGCAGATAACCTGGTCTGGGCCCTGGCATCTTACATCAGTCACTCCCTTGTGTGGGATGTTCTCTTCAGCTCACTTGGGCTTTGATGTTGCATGCCAGGCCACTTTTCTAACCCTTCTTGGCTCCAGAACCTCACTGCATGGTATAAGTGCCCTCTTTTATCCCCCTTTGGGCTTGACACTCCGTAATAGGCTACCTTACAACGTAGATGACTTCTCACTCCACAAAGGCTCTTATATGCTGCATTGGGCCACCTTGTAGTGTGGATGTCTTCATCACCCCACTCAGGCTCTAACACCCCATACCTGGCTGCTCTCCTCTTCAGAAGTTCTGCTCGCTTCCATATGGGCTCCAACACTCTGTACTACACTTGCTCCCCTCCCCCGTGTGAATGCACTCCTCGCTTTGAACAGCCTCCAATATCCCGTTTTTATGCATGTGCCTGTCTTGCTTGGTTCTTTCTCATAGCTTTAGGATTAAATCATTCAGAAAGGGGAAGCGCTTTTTATATAAAAAATAAAGGAGGTTCTTTTTTATATAAAAGTTTTGTATTTCTTAAAGTGGTTTTTAAAATCAAAATGATATTGAACGCTTGTTCCTGTATTAGTGGATAATAAACTATTATATTTCAAATAGATGAAATAATAATAAATTATAATTCTGCACTTAATCTGCATCCCTCTGCCCCCCTTTTCCAAAAACAAATCAAGCTCAAGATGGGAAAGGAGGACAAAGCAAGAAGTGCAAAAGATCTTTAGTAATTTTGGTTGACAGTAAATTTAATCTTAGTTAACAGAGTGATGTGGCTGCTGGAAGAACTAATATGACGTTAGGATGCAGTAAT